GTATCAGAGTGTTCCATCTCATTTCCCTTTGGGGTTGCTGTAGGTGATCTGGAAGTCTGGTTTTGAGACTTGTTTATGTGTCTTCTCATTTTGATAGGGGAATGGGGGGTTCCTGCTGATGCCCGCGTGGCTCAACTTTTGTGTGCTGGTGGGGTGGTAAGGCGGCCTGGAAGCCTCCTCTTGTGCACTGGGAGCGGCTCACCTCCTGTGTGCTGGAGGGGGTGGTACAGTGGCCCAGAGGCCTCCTCTTGTGCACTGGGAGTGGCAGAGCCACAATTCTAACTCAGGTATGTCTGGTTTGTTCCAGTTTAACATCTCTAGGGCCCAAAGGCCTCCTAAGAACCCTAAATGACTGTAATCCCAGCTACCTGAGAGGCTAAGGCAAGAGGATTGCACGTTTGAGGATAGCCTGGGTGAGTTAGTGAGACAATGCTTCAAAATAAAAATTTTAAAGGGCTAGGGATATATAGCTCAGTGCTCCCTAGGTTTAATCTCCTCAAATCCCACAGAATAAATGTAGGTTATATTTAACTTCTGTCTATGTTCTCCAGGAAGTTCCATAGGGGGGTCTATTACACTTTAGGTGGTTTTCATCTGAATGCTTATAGCTTCTTGGATCAACTCTGGCAGTAACCAGTCTTGCAATATCCCAATTTGTGTCACTTTCTCAAGTGTTTATCAGTTCACTGCCACAATGCAAGTTCTGGGTTGCTTGCTTGCCTCTCCCTCAGCAGTTAGGTTCCAGGTTCTTCTCATCTCTCCTTTTGTGTTGTCCAAATCTCAAGGAAACCTGTGAGAACTTCTACATCTGGGTCCTGAGAGGCTGTGCTGGTATTGTAGATAGGTAACTTAATTAGATACCTTGTAGGCAGTTAGACAGGACCTGCAAGGAGCCAACATGGAGGATAATCAAGACACATTCTCTGAAAGCCAGCATTGTAAAAGAAAAGTGCTAATGTAGATTTTTAAAAGCTTCTAATGTGCAGCCAACATTGAGAACTGTTGCTTTAAAATCATTTCAGAGCCAGCTGTCCTACCCTTTTATTTGGACACAATTTTCTTTTGATACTGGGATTTGAACTCAGGACCTTGCTCTTGCGAGACAGGTGCGGCACCACTGAGCTAAATCCCCAGCCCCCTTACCCTTTTATTTATAAGGAGCTACAACTCTTGGTACCATGTCATCAAAATACATGTATGTCAGACTATTTTACAAATAGTCCGTAGCAGTCATTTTAGAAAAATTACCTTTTTTCTGATGCTGGCAGTCAAACTCAGGGCCTTATACATGATAAGCAAGCATTCTACCACTGAGCTACATCTCCAGCCTCTTAGAAATACTCCAAGACAAAAGACCAAGGTCTAATTTCTAATCATGAGTTATTTACAGTGCAGAAAAAGAAGGATTTTAGCACTCCCTATTTTCATGCACAAGAGACATACATCTTATTTTCTGTCAACTAGCTCAGTTAAAATGAGTCTATTTTTCAGAGATCTGACGATAGGGTTATAAAATGGAGTGTCTAGCTGGGCATGGTGGTGCAGGTGTAGTCCTACCACTTGGGAGGCTGAGGCAAGAGGATCACCAAAAGTCCAAGGCCAGCCTAGACTACATTGTGAGTTCAAGGCCAGCCTGAACTACATAACATAGCAAGACCCTGTCTAAAAAAACAAACGAAACAAACAGAATCCCCAACACGAAAAACAAGAAAGAAAGAAGAAAGGTCAAGCCGCGCATCTTGGTGCATGCTTGAAATCCCAGCACTCTGGGAGGCTGAGGCAGGAGGATCATAAACTCAAAACATAGCATAGGCATCTTAGTGACTTAGAGCCTGTCTCGAAATAAAAAAATAAAGAAAACAAAAAAGCGTTATTAACTAATACTTCTGGAATAGCTGATTTTATCCTCATTAAATCTTCTAATCAAATACCCCTTTAAATACCTTAGTCTTGTTTTTGTCCCCTTAGGAGGCTTGGGAACAGAAAGAAGATGATGACCTCAAAAGAGCTACCGAGTTGAGTCTTCAAGGTATGGAGATTATTTTAATTACATTTTTAAATGGTAAAATGTATTACACATAGAAGAGCTTATTAAGCGTTTTTTAACAATAGCAAATTTGAACTCCTCCCAGGTACAGAAGTAGAACCTCAGGGCCAGGGATGTAGCTCAGAGGCACTGCACCTGCCTGGCAAGGGCAAGGTCATGAGTTTGATCCCTGGTACCAGAAAAAAGAAAAAAAAAAAGTAGAACCTCAAGAGTTACCTGGAGCCAGGCATTGTGCCATACACCTATAATCCCAGCACTGAGGAGGCTGGGGGTGGGGGGGGTCATGAGTTTGAAGCCAGCTTGAACTACAAAAGTGAGACCCTTTCTCCAAAAAAAAAATTACTTATGTATCTCTTCTCTATTCCTTTGAAAGGAAATCACTATTCTTAACATTTATATTCACCTACTTTTTTTATGGTTTTAATATCTATATCCATGTCAACAATTTGAAAACACTCAAACACCAGGGACGAGTGGTGCACATGCCTAGAATCCTAGTGTTCTGGGAGACTAACACAGAAAGATCACAGGTTTGAACATAACCTGGGCAACTAAGCGACATAGTGAGACCCTGTCTCAAACTAAAAATAAAAAAGTGGTGGAGATGCAGCTCAGTGCAGAGGCCCAAACAATCTGTCTGTTCAGTGAAAGACTAACATTGCCACTGCTAGGACTCCTAGAACAGAATGAGGCTTCAGCTGTCCCTTGAATTTCCAAAAGCTCACTCTGGGGAGGTTGGTAGGCAGTCATAGTGAGTATTGAGTAGTGTAAGGTTCACATGGTGCTGGCATTGGCAGAACTAATGTGTGGGCAGGTCCTGGATGTCCGTAGCAATGCATGGTCATGGGGACAGGACTGGCTTCCCTGTTACCTTTCTAACATCACTGGCCTTTCTCCAGCTCTCACTTTGCTGACCTGGACAGCAGAGGATGAAGGAGTAAGAATCCCACAGGCATATAGTTGAAACAAAGTCACAAATAAGGATCCTAGCTAGGCACAATCAAGCACTGTCTTCAGGGTTCAGGGTAGTGAGCTGGTGACAGGATGGCTTTCTGGAGTCACAGTGCTGCAGTCTGGACTGATAGTCCTCTGTGTCCATTCGGAACCCTGGATCTCCCTGCCCTTCTGTGTAGGGGAGGGACTTCTGCCTCTCTTCTGTGTGAATCTCTCATTTCCTGTATTTCATTCTTCATTCTTTGTATGCTTGTATTTTGGTGAAAAACATCATCCAGTAGTTTTCTTAAGAAAGAGGGCATAGTGCCAGGCATGGTGGTGTATACCTGTAATTCGCCAAGTACTTCAAATGTATGTACTATTTTTATGATACAGAATTAAATGAACTAGGATTATCTGTAAAATTATATATTCTTTTCCAGTCTTATTCCTTTCTTGTGAGGATTAGACCCCTTTGTCATGTAAATATGTGTAAAAGAAAAGAGAGCTTTATTTTTACAGATTTCATGTCTGCCGTTATTCCCTGAAGTGAACTGAGTGATTTGAACTGTGATATTGTTTCATGTTTTCTTAGGGTGATAAAATGTGTACCTCGGGCTACTTTATCTTTCTACTCATATCTCTTACAGAATTTTCCTTTTTTTCTTAGAGTTTAACAACTCTTTTCTGGATGCATTGGGCTCAGATGAGGATTCTGGAAATGAGGATGTTTTTGATATGGAATACACAGAAGCTGAAGCTGAGGAACTGAAAAGAAATGCTGAGGTAATGTTTTATCCCTGAGTAGAACTGGTCACATCGTCAGTGCTACTTCTGCTCTTTGAAGAGGCTGGTGGTGTCCTTTCAGCAGCCATCAAGTCATCTTCATTGTCTCTTATCCTTTAGTTTTCATTTCTTACCAGTAAGATTCAGAACAAAACAGAAATACATCCTGAGCATCCTATAAGACCCTTAGTACACATATGAGTAAACACAGTATATATCAAATTATCTTTAGTTCCACCAAATAACTGTGTAAATAGGGAAAACTGTTGATTATGTAACTAGAGCACATTGGTCCTTTTTTACCTCTTTCCTTAAATAATTGCCTTTTTCCTACTGTGTGTGGGTGGGTGGTGGTGGTGGTGGTGGTGGCTGAGACAGGATCTCACTGTGCAGTCCAGGCTGGCTTTCAACTTGCAGCAACCTTCCTGCCTCAGCCTCCCAAGTGCTGGTATTACAAGCATGTGCCACCATACCTGGGTTCCTACAAATTTTAATTATTCACAACTAACACAACTATAACTGTTGTTAGCATTTTGACATTTATTTTTGTCATTCTCAACTCCACATATGTTTAAAAATGTCATAATGTAAGTGAAGTTTTTATTCTGCTTGTTGGCTATACTCTACTGAAATGAACATACTATTTATATTTAGCTAACACTTGAGTATTTAAATTTAGTCAGTTTTTCATCATAATGTATTTTCTTTTTGGTACCAGGGATCAAACTCGGTTCCTTGTGCTTGTGCAGCAGGCGGTGAAACCACTGAGCTAATCCCCAGCCCCTATTTTCTATATTTTAGATTTTCTTTAAATCTCCAGAAATAAATTATTACATCAAAATTTATGAACATTTGAACAGTTTGATTTACATGTAGCTATATTCCTTCACAAATTTTAACCTACTGTGCTGCCTGCAGTGCATTAATATCAGTTTGCATTTTTGTTTTGTTTTTTACTAGCATTATTTAATAACATTTAAAATATATAAAATGGGCCGAGGATTTAGCTCAGTGGTTTCACCACCTGCTGCGCAAGCGCAAGGACCCGAGTTCGATCCCTGGTACCAAAAAATAAATAAATAAATAAAATATATAAAATATGAAAGTTCATCTGTAATCCCTACAGCAACACAACTTTTTTTCATTTTTTTGTCCAGTACCTAAATGTCACCATAACTACTTTGGTAGGGCTGTAGTTATTATGTAAATTCACCTGGGTTTGAAAAACAAGTTAACATGTAGCTACTCCAAATAATTTCCTTTGTTTTGTTTTGGGCAGGGGGGCGGTTGGTACCAGGGATCGAACTCAGGACCTTGTGCTTGCAAGGCAGGTGCAGCACCACTCAGCTAACTCACCAGTCCTTTTGTTTGCGTTTTGAGCCGGGGTCTCACCATGTAGTTCAGGCTAGTCTCAAACACATGGTGATCCTCCTGCCTCACCATCCTACATGCTGAGATGACAGGTGTGTCCCACCATTCCAGCAGAGTAATTTTTTATTATTTTAACTGAATAATATTGATTAAATTGATATACCACCCGCTCGTCAAATATTATTGGGTACTGGGGCCGGGGATTTGGCTCAGTGGTTTTGTTGCCTGCTGCGCAAGTGCAACGACCCAAGTTCAATCCCCGGTACCAAAAAAATACATATATTATTGGGTACACTGTTAGTCCCAGCTTTTCATTATTATAGATAATGCTGTAGTAAATAATTTGGTACATATCGTTTCTTTTTAGTCTCTTCTCTTTTTTTTGTACCCGGAATCAAACTCAGGGCCTGGAGTTTACCAGGCAGGCACTACACTGCTGAGCTACATTCCCAGCTCTTTTCTTCTTTTAAATTATTTCGTTAGGATAAATTCTTAGTTGGAGGTGAATTCTTGGTCCAAAGGGTATGAACAGTATAACCACGGGATTTTGTTATTGAGTCTTACTAAACCAGTGCCCTGTCCTGCGTGCAGGACTTATCTTTTCTGTGTCTTCTTTTCTTCTCCTTTTCTTTCTTCTACTTTTTCTCTTATTTTCCTCAATAAATGTTACCCTGTTATGCTCAAAATAAATAAATAAACCCACACCAAGGCTTAGCTGTGTCAGCTTTGATACTAAATTCAAATCTAGTGTTTTGCTTTTATTCAAATGAGAAGTTATACCCACTTCTGTTTTCCAGACAGGGACTCTCCCTCATTCCTATCGGCTTATTAGTGTCGTCAGTCACATTGGCAGCACCTCTTCTTCAGGTAAATGGACATCATCATTTGCCCCCTGTTATGTTTGCTGTTTGCCTGGCTTTGTGAGGTATAAGTTGAATGCATCAAGAAAAACTTAAAGCTTGGTCACTTTCAATGTGAATCATATTAATAGGTGTAACTGCTTTTTGCAGGTCATTACATTAGTGATGTGTATGACATTAAGAAGCAAACGTGGTTTACTTACAATGACCTGGAAGTATCTAAAATCCAGGAGACTGCTGTGCAGACTGATCGAGATCGGAGCGGTTACATCTTCTTTTATATGCACAAGTAAGAAACTTTACCCGATACCAAGTAACTGGCTAAAACTTACCTGAATTCTTCTTTGAGAATGAATTATACCCACATTACTTGATTGGTTGACAGTTTTTGGTTTTTATTGTTTTTGCTTAATGTTTATATCTGTTGATATTTCCTTGTAAGTCTGAATTTTCTCAACTCAGCATTAAATACTCATTGCACAATATCATGTAGGTACAGAATTTAATACTGTTTTGTGATAGAAGATACTCTATGATAAACTTTTATGGCCTTTCAGGTTTTTTGTTTGTTTTTGTTTTTTTTTTTGAGACACGGTCTTGCCATGTAGTTCAGGCTAATCTTAGTCACTTTGTAGCCCAGGCTGGCCTTGAGCTCTTGCCCTCAGCCTCCCAGGCACTGAGATTACAGATACGTGCCACCACGCCTGGTTTGGCCTTCTAGTTCTGTCAGCTACATCTGCTTGATATGAATGGGAACTACATAGTATTTTTATTACCAGTTTACCTCATTCTCAAAAATTATTATCCAGGAATTTAAGATGGTGATGGAGTAAATGAGGTACTTATTTAGCAAAATTTAGGTATCAAATGGGATTGTGTAGACTTTATCAATATATTTCCTGTTGCTTTTTCTTCTTTCTATACCTTGGTTCTATTCACTGAATTTCCTGTTGTATTTTTTGTTTTATTTTAAGGGAGATCTTTGATGAGCTGCTAGAAACAGAAAAGAACTCTCAGGCATTTAGCATGGAAGTGGGGAAGACTGCCCGTCCAGCCTCGTGAGGAACAGTCTCCTGTGTTGGCAGTGTGCACTGCATTTTCTCTCTCACTGCCACTGATGTCACCTTTCCTCTGCCCAAGGAGAATTTGGAATTCTACTTGATGCGGGAGCAACAAACAGCTCAGGGCCAAAACCAAAAGACAAAATTGCAATTATGTGGAATACTCCATGCTATTTTATGGACACCTTGGTCTCATCTGTAGCTGATTATCCTCTTTTTCTCCTACAAAAGTGGTACTTCATTTTGTCTTAGGAGTACATGTTGTGTGTATGTATGTGTGTGTGTATATATATACATATGTATATATATATATGTATATATATATACATACAAAATGAATGGAGGCTTAAGGAGTTGGGGTGAGCCACTAGAGTATGCCTGCTCAAAATTAACTTCAAGCTGTGCGTGGTGACGCACAACTGTAATCCCAACACTTGGGAGGCTGAGGCAGGAGGATCAGCACAAGTTTAAGGCCAGCCTGGGTTACATAGTGAGTTCAAGGCCAACCTGAACTGTATAGCGAGACCCTGTCTCAAAAAATAAAACCAAAAAAAAAAAAAATAAAAAAGATGAACAGTGAGGAAGCTGGAAGAAGAAATAAAAGTGTCAGAGTCCATTCACCTGAAAAGTGTGTGAAGACAGAAATCAGTTGGCTTTTTGTTTTTGTTCCTCAAGTAGCGTTATTTAAATCTGTGACCTTTTGTATGTGTTTTTTACAAGTAAAATTCACTGGAAAACCAGCTCTCTGTTACACTAATGACAGTTTGTCATCCTTGCAAGAGGCATTTTTGTTGCCTGAGAAGCTTTTTGTTTCTTAATCGTCTTCTAAGTTTCATGAATATGTCATGCCTTTGCTGTTTACATGCAGTTTCCAAGAAATGGATTGTTGGTGCTTTAGAATGTGTTGCAGTCCTATCTTTGGTATTCATTGTAGACCTCACGTTTTTCTCTATAGGGATTCCTTCACACACTTGGTTCATCCTATTCATCTGTATTATTGTGATGGTGAAGTTAGAATCTTTTATTTTCTTCTGTATTATTCGTACTATGAAGCAGGCACAACCCTAATGTGTCATAACTAAAACTTAAACAGGTAGAAAAATAATATTGCTCCAACTGGGACTCCCCAGGAGAGAGGCTTAGGGAGAAGGAAGAACGCTAGTATCTCTGCCTCTCCGGCAGAGAGAGGCCAAAAGGTGCACTGCTGTGTTACAGCTCCAACCCTGGACCGCTAAAGGCAAAATCCTGCTGCACGTGTGAAATGAAGTACATGAGCTGTAGGGAAAAACTTGTGCATTTAATTATTTACTGTCTGACTTTACCCTTAAGACAGGGTGAGAATTAAAATGTTACTGGTTTAGGTAATCTCAAGAACTAACAAAAAACAGAAGTGCACCGTGTATTTGTCATTGGGTGCTCTGAGTAGAGGCTGAGTGGGGGTGCAGGATCGAGTGCTGCCTTAATCTCTTGGACAGCACACCCAGCTTGGGTCAGCAGCTTCACCAGCCATGGAAAGGCTGAGCATGAGGACAGGCTTCTGTGAGCCCAGGTGTTAGCATCACACAGAGTTAAATATGGCAAAATGAAACCTTCATTTTCTTTTCTGTTTTTTCTTGCTTTTGTTGTAGACAAGGGGATTACTCTTCAGTTCTGAGGTAAGAACAAAACACATCAAGTTTTCAGGGGGAGAAAACAGTTAAAACTCATCATCCCAAAGATAACAACATATTTTCTGGAAGATTGCTTTCAGAGAGCTCCAGCCTCGCCCCGCTCTGGAAACTTGGTTGTGTTGTGACTTAATCACCTATTCTAAATTTTGGACCTTTGAATTGTAAATGACCTCAGCACTTTTGCTTAACTACTGATAAATGCTTTGCCTCCTACCATCTACCAGCACACATTATCATAGTGAATGTTCCAAAATGGTACAGTGGTAGTTATGCAGGAGTAGTTAGAGCAGAGGGAAATATTTTTTTGTTTGTTTTAAAATTTTTATTTTCTACCAGCAGCTTTGTTTTGTTTTCAAATATCAGTTTTCTCATAAATAAGTGCAGTGGTGATTAAATTCTTTATTCTATTCACTGTCTCTGCATTTGAGAGCTCTAAGCTGTTAAAAATGATGGGGAGCAATACAAAGTGAGGTTTGCATTAAGACATAGAGAAAATCAAAATAATGCCATAAACCTTGATGGCCTCATGAGCAGCTCGGGGGAGTTGCTTTCATAGCTTGCATGTGTGAACAGTTTATTTTATTTTTTTATTTTTATTTTTTTTGCGGTACTGGGGATTGAACTTGGGACCTTGGGCTTGCGAGGCAGGCACAGTGCCACTGAGCTAAATCCCCAGCCCACTGTGTGAACAGTTTAGAAGAACACTTGGCACAGAAATCTGATTTGGTTTGTCCTTCATGTTTTGGGCATAACTTGTTGAAAATAGGTTACTAGAATATATGAGTTACCTCACTGCTCCTCCTTGCAAATTTGGGACTTGAATTTTACTCTGTCCTTGTTGTGGCCTTGTGAATCTTCCCCTTCTACCTTCCCTCCTTTAACATACTCACTTGACTATAAATGGAGATTTCAGCTAGACTATATTGATAGGGGTTGGGATTTATGGGAGTTTTTGTTTTGTTTTGTTTTTTGGAGCTGGCTGTATATATTTTTAAATTATAAATAGATAATATATTATTTTTTTGCACAGTGTGATCAGTTTGCCCATAGTTGGGGCTTGGGGGAGTTAGTGGGTTGGGGCCAGGAAGGGAGAAATTAGATGGAGACAGAGTACTTCAGTTCCAGAAAGTCTGCACAATAATGGACCTATCAAAAATACCAAATATGTAGTACATTATTTTAAGTGACTTTGAATTGGAATGTGGTAGTAATTAGTTTTGGACACAACCTTTTGATCTTAGTTGAAATTTTTGGAACAGAAAAATAAAATGCAAACTTACTGATTTTTGTCCCCTAATATTATGGGGAATCAGAAAGTTGCATGTAGACAAATGTCATTATCCTTTTAATAGCCAAGACTATAGGCCTGTGAAAAGATAACTTTTGTAGGGATATATATATATTTTTTTTTGTAGGGATATATTTATATGTATGTACACGCTCAAGTTTTGTCTCAGCAGAATGCAATAAGCAAATCCACCAATTGATCTATTTATATTTGGATTCCAATGCTATTTGTTTACTTGGTGTGCCCTGTTAATGCCAGGGCTAACTTAAGTAGTTCAGCAGCAAATAGAACAAATGTAAATGTGCTTACATTTTAGGAAATATATAGTGATACTACAGATCAGTTCATTAATTCCAGATGCACATATTAACACATTTCTTCCTTTTTCTCCATGATCAAGTGCAAAATCCTCTAAGAAGCTTTATGATTTAGAACCTCTGCAAAAAAAAACTATTCTTCCATATTGCAATTAGAAAAAAAGTAATTTGTAAGACTTGTGACCTGAAAAGTGTATATATTAAACAAATACAGTGTTATCTGCTCTCTTTTTGGTCCTCTGAAAATGACTATGGCAAATGACCTCATTATCCAACCCCCCCCCATTTTATGTAATTGACCCCAGAGGTGGATATTTGCTTTAAATCTGGGAAACACCTTGAGCTCCAAGTATACATGAATCTTGTACATACACAGAGGTTTTTAGAGAAGTCAGTAACCACGTACCAGAAGGATGTCTCCTGAGTGTCCCGGTAAGATGGATATGTACTTCTCCCCATCTTGCTTTATATCCTGTAACACTCTTGCAAGTGTGTACAGAAACTAATAGATTTTTGCCCTCTATCTTTCTAATCCATTTCTTCAAAATTCTACTTTTGTCTCTTGATATGTATTATTAGTAACATCTAAAAATATATATTTTATTGGAAAACTATAGTTTGTTAAGCCTTGAGGGTTTTGTGACAATTATTTTGTTGTTTCATCACAATGATTGATTCCTTTATGGCATGCTTTGACTACTAAACCAGGCAGTCTCTTTCGTTGTATTTATGCACAATTAGTAAATTGTTTCTTTTCCATGTATGCAATATGTCTGAGGTTTTGAAGTTTTAATTAAAAGTGTGCCAGTATGAATAAGCATTTAGTGGCCAGGCGTGGTGGTGCATGCCTGTAATCCCAGCACTTGGGAGGCTAAGGCAGGAGGATCACCATGAGTTCGAGGCCAACCTGGACTACATAACGACGCTATCTCAAGGGAAAAAAATGTGTTTGATTTTAGTGACACTGGACTAAGTATAGAGGTTCGAAGTACAGGTGTGCCCACTGGCATAAGAACAGAGTGGATCAGGATCTGCGGTTACCAGGTCAAATGCCAGAACAAAGGAGCAATCAGCCAAATGGTCTGTTTCAGAAACAGCATGAGGGAGACCACACATGGGTGTGCAAACTCCTGTCCCCAGATTTCCCTCCCTCTGAGTGCTTCCTCCCACCTCAGCTTCCCTGGGCTATTGTTGGTTTCTTTACGGTTAAGGAGAGGAAAGCAGAAGTGAGGTTCCTACACTTGGTCTAACAAGCCACCCCCAGGTTCGCTGGCAGCTTTGGCCATGTTATTTTTGAGGTGGTTTTTATTTTTTTTTTCTTTGTGTTTATAGTGATTTTTTATTCTGATTTTTGCTGTTTTGTATGGAGCAGCACTTTGTCTGTGTTTTAGCAGAACTGTTCCTCTGGATCCTTCGTGGTTTTTCCTTTTGTTTCCTTTATAAATTATACAGAATTTTTTTGTGTGAAATTAAAACCTTTATTAACCTGCTGTTGTTTTGATTGTTACTTCTGAAAAGGACACATTCTTGCAGACACCTTTACTGGGGTTTTGTGTTTTTTTTGGTACTGGGGATCGAACTCAGGACCTTGTGCTTGCGAGGCAGGTGGCTGAACCACTGAGCTAAATGCCTGGCCCCTGCAGACACCCTTCATACCAGTCTAAAGTTGTGGACATCGGCTTCATTGGCTGCCTGGATTCCGTGCAGCAGCCTGATGTTATCCCATCGTTACCACTGAGAACCTATGGTTTTCTTCTGAGGAGCCTGTGAAGCTTGACAGAGGCTTCTGGGTAACACTGCCCCTGCCTTGTTAGAATGAGGCAGGGGGTGAAAAACTATTACTATTTCATTTCACTATTTGCTTTGGGCCTCAGGCCTAGAACCAGTGGATGTGCTGTTCTCACTAGGTACTATGTAATGAGTATTGTATAACCCAGGAAGGCAATCTCAGGCCATTCAACTCCCCCAAAAAGGGGTCCTCTTTAACTTAGCACCTGAGTAAGATAGGACAGCATAAGTGAAAAGCAGAGGCCATTATTGTGGGAAAGATACAAGACTGCACAATGTTTCAGCCCACCTGCTGTAGATAAAAAATGGAGGAGTGCCTCAGAACTCTACTATGGAAGTGTTGGGCTGCCTCTGAGGAGGGAAAGCTCTAGAAGAAGGTGATTAAAAGGGACAGGAGAAAATAGTCCTTCCCCCTTCAGATCACAGGCTCCCTGGAGAGCCAGCATCTTTCTGAAGGAGTCCATAGATTTCTAAACAAAAGTAGCATTGCCACACTGCCTCCTCACAGAGGCAGCTGGAAATGTTCTTTTCAGCTGGCATAGGTCGAAAATCAGTAATAACAAAACCTCGAGAGCAAGGCAGGGTGCTGCTTTACCACCACAACTACTCTTCTTAAAATAGTCCCTTTTCTTTCTTGAGGTTTTGTTGCTTCCATCGAGGCAGGGTGGAGAAGGCAGCTGGAGTCATCCCCAAAGCCTTCATAAAATCTTCAACAGACAGGTGCGCCTAGGAGAGGAAAGGGGCCAGAAGACAAAGGTCACAGCCTTCCCAGGTTGGCTAGGCTGAGTCACATAGGTGTGGCATAGAATCGATCAAATGAAGAGCAAGAGCAAACAGTGAGAGCCAAGAAAGGATGGGAAGGAGGGCAGCAGCATTTGGGGCTTCCACAAAAGGACAGTAATAAAAATGGAGCTGCTTTTCTTTGTACCAGGGTCAAATTGGTGTTAGTCTAGAGAGAAGAATTAGGACCTCTGACTGAAGGTGTTCCTGCTCTTTAGGGCTTAGTTATTATCCTCCCCATAAAATGGGAGAAATGTTATAAGGGCCAATTTTTATTTTTATGAGGATGAAAATACTACTACATAGAAAAGGGTATTGGAAATAAAAAAGTCTGGTTCATTTAACTTTGTAAGTCATAGACCATCCCACAAAGCCAGCAGATGAGCCCCAAGATAGGAGTCTGCTCAGGGTGGCTGGATAAGCTTGCATTGCCACCACAGGACACGTGGCTCTTTAGCTTTGGGGCAAATTAGCAGACCAGCTGCCAGGGAAGTAGTCCTAAGTGGTCCTAATGGACAGGGCAAGCAACAATCTAATGAGTACTACTAAAGCACTCATGAAGACAGGCAGATCTGAATTCAGTCAGATCCCTGTCAGTGGGTTCTGGGTCTGCAGATTCAACCAACCAGGTTGAAAATACTAGGGTAAAAAATTATACTAAACATGGACAAATTTTTTTCTTGTAATAATTTCCTAGATAATACAGTATAACAGCAGTTTACATAGCATTTACATTATATTAGGCATTTTAAGTCATCTAAAGTATGCAGGTGACACATGCCTGTAATCCCAGGACTCAAGAGGCTGAGGCAGGAGGATCACAATTTCAAGGCCAGCCTGGCTTCTATAGCAAATTGAAGTGTAGCTTGGACTACATAGTGAGACCCTGACTCAAAACAAAGTATACAGGAGGGTGAGCATAGATTATGCCATTTTATATAGGACTTGAGCATTCTTGGGTGTCCTGGGGTGTCTCAACACCAGTCCCCCATGGATACAGCCAACTGTGCTCCTGATTTCAGGTGCTGATGCTAATACTCAAGGAAGTCAAGGTCAGTTCATTCCAGCACAGGCTCCCTGCCATGAGTGGTCTCAGGCACACTGTGCAGAGCTCTTGTCATCTCCCCTCCTGGACCTGCATGTGTACCAGGTTTGTTCCTAGCTAAGAGGCAACATGCGAAGCTTCCTCACTCTTCTATTTCATGGTGAATGTGATTCTCTAGGAGCAGGTTTTGCTTAGATGGTGAGAGGGTAACTGCAGAAGGGAGTCCCAAGCCAGGAGAAGGATTCTAAGAGGAGAAGCCAGGAAGGCTGAAGAATAAATTGAGAGTCAAATCTTCTGCTTTGGCCGAGGATTTAGCTCAGTGGATTCGTCATCTGCTGCGCAAGCACAAGGACCCAAGTCCAATCCCCGGTACCAAAAAAAAAATCTGCTTTGTTGAGAAGAAAACAAAATATTTGGGTAAATGACGTGCCAGTTCCTCTCATCTTGTGAATGATCAGAAGATTAGATTGCACAATTTTATCTTTTTGCTCTTAGCTTGGAAATCATAACTGGGAGTCACTACCTGTCCAGGTCTTTGGTATTGTGGCTGTTAACCCTGATATGTCAACCTCATTGGTGTACGAAATGCCTAGCAGATCTAGCATTTGGGAGGCTAAGGCAGGAGGATAGCTGCAACTTCAAGGCCAGCCTGGGCTACATAGTGAGTTTAAGGCCAGCCTGAACTGCATAGCAAGACCTTGGAGAGAGAGAGAGAGGGAGAGAGGGAGGGGGAGAGAGAGAGAGAGAGAGAGAGAGAGAAATGCCTAGCAGATTAGTAAAGCATGATCTTGGGTGTGTCTGGGTGAGTCATGGAAGTGCTACCTATATCCGGTCCCTCACCCTTCCTCTCTGTCACTGTTCCCATCTGCTTCCCAATCACCATGAGCTGAGTGGCTTTGTTTCACCACTTCCTCCTGCCATGACGTTCCTCGTTTGGAGCCAGCCAACCATGGACTGAATTCCTCAAAGCCATGAGCCAAATTAAACCTTTCCTTTCAGTTGTGGGTGTGTCAGGTATTGTGTCTCAGCCACAAGAAAGCTAGTAACAGGGATCTCCACAAGTCAGAACTGACTGAAACCGCCTTTGTTCCCAGCTCTAAGGTGGCATTATGATGCTGGTTAAGGCTGCTAACTAGTCCCAGATATACCCAAATAAGGACCCAAATTAAAGTAGCTATAAAACAGCATCTGTCGGCCTTCATCTCTGCTCCCAAAGACATGGAGAGGTAGATGGGGTGGGGTGAGCACAGTGAGCTTCCTTGAAATGTTGGGCTGCTCCCCTGAAGTGGAGTTGCCCTAGGGGACATTATTGACTCCTAGAGAACCCTACATTGCACCACTTCATAGTAAACACTGTGGATAGGTTTCAAGCTCAGGCGGGTCTGATGCCCAGTTTTTTAGCCTGTCATTAGCTTTGCCTCCCTCCCCTGGGCATTGTCTCCTCAAGGAGAAGGGCAATGCAGACCTTGTTTTGGAAGAAGTGAGTAAACATAAGCACTTCGGGCATCAGCGAGTTCCTCACAGCTGTGGCTGCTGTGTCCTAGGTCCCTGCGAGGGGCTGCACGGTGCTTGGCTTTGCCCGGACTCCTGGACTCTGACCCTCCAAGCTAGATAGCAAGGACTGCCCATCCCAGTGGACTTGTGTCTGTCCATGGCTCGTGCTCTTGAACACCATGGTCTTGCCTGCTGATTACCAGCCTCACCCATATCTGCCTCCCTGAGGTTTATCATTGGGGTTTGACACTTAGATTATTATCTATCTACTGCCTGTAGCCTGGCCCACCACCCTCTCTTGTCATTGGTCCCCTTCCAAGTTTGGAGCAGCCAGAGATCTGAAAACCTCTCCACCCCTCCACACTTGACATTGAACTCTCAACTTTCTCACAAGGAAACACACTACTTCCATGATTTAAAAAAGAAAATCAGCTACAGATAACTGATTGTAAAATCTGAGGCTTCTTCAACTGCTTCCAGCATAGTGGGGTCTTTAACTTTGGCTCCCCTCCCTTTAGAAATACATATGTCCTTTTTGCCACATAACATGATGGTACAAGTGGCACTCAGAAAACATAAATTGTTGTTGTTGTTGTTGTCATTATTTTTGAGACAGGGTCTCACTGTGTATTCCAGGCTGGCCTTGAACTCACTGTATAGCCCAGGAGTGCCTCAATCTTGTGCCAATCCTCCTGCTTCAGCATCCTGAGTGCAGGATTACAGGCATGCATTACCACACCCAGCTAGAAGATGATTCTTGTTCTGGCTTTCCAGCTAGCTAGTTAACATCACACAAACCACTTCCCCTCTACCTGGACCTGCTTGCTTGGATATAGAGCAGGCAGTCTATATACCAGAGCCTGGGCTAGGATCGTCCCAGTGATACAGTGCGGATACAGGTGCCTTCTAGCCTCCTACCCACCGCACGGACGGGAGAATCCAAGACAGAACACAGGACAGTGTCCTTCAGGCAGTGGTAGAGCATGGCCTAGCACATTGCCTAGCATGCATGAGGGCCTGAATTCAATCACAGGAGGGAGAGGAAAGGAGAGGGGAGGGAGAAGGAGGAGGAAGAAAAAGAAGAAAGAAGGGGAGAGGGAAGAGGAGGAAGAGACAGGAAGAAAGGAAGGAGGAAGGGAAAAGAAAAGAGATTTTTGACAAGCCCTTCCTGCTGCACTACTCCTGCCAGACCTGCCCCTGTGCTGCCAATACCAGCTGAACCATGTGCTGAGTTGTAGACTCTATCTCTGCCCCAGGTCCTCTGAATTGCTGCCCCCTCAAACATGCACCTCAGTCTGGATGACTTCTGGGTACCTCAAAGGACAGAGCTGCTGCACAGCGTGACGGGGATCTGCTCTCCTACTGACTGCTCTTGCCACC